CACAATTAAATTCACTCTATAGGAGGCACAATTTATATGGATAGTATTTATTTTTTGTAATAACAAGCTGGAATGAAAACAAGCATGAATGAAATTAACAACTTTCTACTTCTTGTCTTTTTTAAAAAAATGTAAGAAGTAAAAAGTACAGATAACTGTGTCAAAATGTAGGGGGTAGACGTAAAAAGTAGGCTGAAAAATAATTACTCAAGTAAAGTACAAATACCCAAAAATTCTACTTAAGTACAGTAARGAAGTATTTGTACTTAGTTACTTTACAACTCTGGCATTGTTTTAAACATTCCATCTATCTTCTCTCCTCTGCTACAGGCTTCCCCTGCAGCCCTGGCCAAGTGTGTTCTAGCAGAAGTACCTGGTCAAGTAGTTGAGTACTTTAGTCACAAGGCCATACCCCCAATGAGTCCAATGAGGGAACTGCTTAGCCCCATCCTGAGCCCAGTGGCCACCAGCCCAACAGAATAACTGCGTTCTCAGTTCCTTTTGAGCGCAGCACCAAGTCTGGCAGACCAACGAGGGGAAGACGATGCATGCCTGACAACTTCGGTAAAAGAACTGAAGAGAACATCCTTCTAAATGTGTTATTTATTTTTCACTCAGCAACATGTTTACACAAGGACAGAACTACACAGGTTGTGAGTGACATATTCCTGTGGTTGATGTGGGTCGAGCACTTCTACCTGACTGTGCTAACCGACCATCCAGCTGTTTTAGCACCGTAAATCCTGAAGGGTTTTATTTTCTCTATCGAATTTTTATGCATGCGGGCCATTTACTCAGTGGTGATGTACTTCTTGGATTTTTTTTATTGCCTATAAACTGCAGTTTCTCATCTCCGTCTATGTTCCTTCTCCCCCACAACATATGTTTAGGTGATTTTTTATATGCACTGCAGTCACTGAATTGTTAAACTAAATCACCATGTTTCTGTTCAAACTTGTACCTTTCCAAAGCGAGTCTGGCTGAAGGATTGACCTTATTTTAAATTACTTTTTTTTCCAAAGTGCACAAAAATCAAACATTTCAGTCCATCCAGCTCACATTAACAAACACTGTACATATTTTTATTTTCCTATTTATGTGAATTTCTTGATGTAATATTTGGCTTAAATGCAAAGCTTTGCTCTAACGTGCACCTGCCATTGACAATAAATCAAAAACCGTCCTGCAATAACTACGAATTACACAATGCTGATGGGGATTAGCAGTTAATTCAGTTTATTTATATTGCTCCAAATCAGAACAAATGTCATATCAAGGAATTATACAGAGAAAATAAGCATGTTCAACTCAAATCAGCAGTTGTAAAATTTACAATATTTGTGCAATCTTTGTAAAATAATTATAACACTTAATGGTCAGAAACTTACTAAACCCCAGCACTATTTTGTGTGTAGTTTCCACAACACTTACTCTCACCTTGTGAAATACAAGTGACACAAAAACGTCAGCTGTAGCTTTTTGTGTGATTTTCTCTAAACATTTCCAGCAGTTAATACAGCCTCTCAGCTGAGCAGCAATGTTTTTTTTTCACAAGGTGGTCGACAAATGCACCCGGTTTCTGTTTTTTTTTTTGTCAAGTGGCTTTAGTGTGAAAATCATGTTTCATGGCAGGTTATTTCTCTCTGAATTGCTCAGTGTTGTTGTCATCTTTTTGTAAATCATTATGCAGTTGGCATCTGCTGTTAGTTTCATTTTGCAAATAAACAAAATTCGACTTTTTGCTGCTTTTTTATGCAATGTAATTCAACAAGTTTAAACGAAAAGAAAAGCACAACACTGATCCCAGTTAATGCTGTAACAAAGATGTTGGTATTGATTTCATTTGCTTTGGAATAATAAATTCTTGGAAATTATTACCAAATTCTGTTAGTCTTTTTTACTACAAGGTCAGAGTTTCTCTAGAGCAAACTGCCCATTTCATCCATTAATTCAATTTCCAATTAACACTTGGTAGAAAGGTGTGTTTAAAGGTGATTGTGTTTTCCTGCTGAGCTTTAMAGTTCTCATTACTTTTTAAAAGCTATAACCTTCAGTTTTAGTATTTACCCAGCAAGAGTTTAGTTAAATTGTCCTCATAGTGTTTGGAGAGCAGCCGGTAATGATAGAATATATTACATTTTGGCCTCAGTGTATTTCCCAAGGAACAATATTGCTACAGATAAAACAGAAACTCTCACTGTATCTGTCTCCAAACAGCAGGAAAACCACATGTAGTTTCATTTGCTGCTTTTAATGTTAAATATTGTGGGGTCAGCATCTAAGTTGGTCAGAAAAGAACAATTGTATTTTTAAGTAGAAAACTGCAATTTCAAGATACACAGGAAGAGTAAATCTGGGGATCTTGTTCACGAGTTGGGGAAGAACGGAGCGGGAGATCGACAGGCGGATTGGCGCAGCGTCTGCTGTAGAGCGGGCGCTGTACCGGTCCGTCGTGGTGAAGAGAGAGCTGAGTCAGAAAGCGAAGCTCTCKATTTACCGGTCGATCTACGTTCCTACYCTCATCTATGGTCATGAGCTTTGGGTCATGACCGAAAGAACGAGGTCCCGGATACAAGCGGCCGAAATGGGTTTCCTCCGCAGGGTGGCTGGGCTCTCCCTTAGAGATAGGGTGAGAAGCTCGGTCATCCGGGARGGACTCAGAGTAGAGCCGCTGCTCCTCCACGTCGAGAGGAGCCAGTTGAGGTGGCTCGGGCATCTGGTTAGGATGCCTCTTGGACGCCTCCCTGGTGAGGTGCTCCGGGCACGTCCCACCGGGAGGAGGCCCMGAGGAAGACCCAGGACACGCTGGAGGGACTATGTCTCTCGGCTGGCCTGGGAACGCCTTGGAGTTCCCCCGGAGGAGCTGGAAGAAGTGGCTGGGGAGAGGGAGGTCTGGGCCTCCCTTCTGAAGCTGCTGCCCCCGCGACCTGACTCCGGATAGGCGGAAGAAAATGGATGGATGGATGGACAGGAAGAGTAAAAAGCTAAATAAACCCATCCTGCACATTCAGACTGTTTTTCTTTCCTTTTCAAATATTTTCTCATCATTCTTTAATATTAACACAAGATTATTAGGTTTACATAATAAAAGAAATCTAAAAAAAAAATACAGGAAAACATTAGGGTCACAAAAATGGTTGTTTTTTTCCCCCAGAATTGTGAGAGGAAAAAGCAACAACTCTGGTTTCAATCTCAGAATTCTGACTTCTTTCTCAGAATCTCAAAAATCTGAGAAAAAAAAGTCTGAATTCTAAAAAAAAAAAAAAAAATCCACCATGACCTTAATTCTCTTCTGTATAAAGTCATAGAAATAAAAACCTATTTTCTGTTTTAGTTTTTGAATCTACAATCTTTCTGAATCTAAAACTGATTCTGACCGTTTTTTTTTAAATCTCATTTCATTTTACAAGTTTCACTTGTTTCCAACCGATTTTCCGCAGTGTTAATAGTGAAAAATCTAAAACTCAGTATTTGGTAAATCCCACTTTCAAAATTTCAGTTCCTACTTTGTGAACAAAAACACAAATAATTGAATGTATCTGATTTCTTCACCATACACTAGTGTTTTGGTTGTTTGCTGGCCACTATCTGCACACACATCCGTAGTGTTAACGGCTACACTGACTCACAAGCATCGCCCCCAGCTACAAACATTTATCTGGCTTTGCTTTGTCCTCTTTAGCCTCACCAGCCCTTCCCAGACACACACTATTGACTTCCCGTGAATGCACCAAAACACAGCTCCCTCTGCTTTGTGAGCTCCTTTAAGAATCAAATATTGAAGATTCCTGTGCCTCTGTGGATCACAAGAGGAGGGCCTATTGATTTAGCAKGCGTAGTTTTAAAGCCATATCCAGTTACTGAAATGTCCATAACCTTGGAGAGTTTAGTGTGGTGTTGAGTTTTMTGTGAACAGAGTGGAAAAGATGAAGAAATGATTTCGTTCATAAGCAGCTTACGATGGTTTATTGAGAAAAATGGTCTTTTCTGTGGTGATTAATGTGTTTTTGTCACACATTTAATTTGATCCATTACACATATCTAATTTCTAAAAAAGAAAAGCTATCCAAAAGTTTTGATAATTTTGTAAGATTGATAGTCTGACAAAAAAGACACCTTTGAAATACAGTATATGTCTAACAGCAAACTTTGGTGTTTTCCCTAAAAACTTTGTSTCTCTTTATTTTAAACTAAATAAACCACAAAGTGCAACTTTTAACCAAATATCCAAATATTCTGATTCTATGAAAAACATTTTAATGTCTGAAAGGCATCAGATTTTCATGCCAACACACTCCTCCCAGTATGAACATCTTGCTTTGCTTCAAGTCACGAGGAGTTCAGATGGTTCAATAAATGGTCTTAAACATTTTAGTGAGATGTAATTTTCAGAACTGATAGACTGTTGATTAGATTTTACTTCACATATTATTTCAAAAGCACTAACACACCTTATCTCCATCTTTGGCTCCTTTATTGATGACCAGAGCTTTTCAGTCCATATCTTTATCCAGTTTCTGTCTCTGCAGGCTGTTTGAATAAGAACTCGAGCTTCATTTTATTTCTTCAAGGAGAAGAAAAATATTTATTGCGTGCTTGCTTTTATTGTTAAGCTGTGCGGTGAAGTTATTCATTCGGATTTTATAGCATACTAATGTGTGAGCGCGCGTTTAGACGAATATCTGCTCTTGTAGTTTACGCTTTCTGCCTTGCAGTTGGGGAAATAAATCTCCTCACTGAAAGTGCCTGTGAAAACTGCTGTTGTAATTACAAAGTCTAAATATATTCTAACAAATATGCGGATGTACTTAAACATTTGATTTTGCTGTCTAGTTTCCTTTAAGTTTCTTAACTTGCTCCAGGGATTAGCCTTAGAATTTTTTTTTCTGAGCGCAAACAAATCCAGACAAAACAAAATAAGAAAGCCACCTTGAAAAGTAGGGCATGTTTTCACGTATACGTTTGCATTGTGCAATTTGCTGATGCTGTGCGCACTTTGCATGAAAAGATGGACCCAAGCATACTGTTTAATTCCATCAGACAGTCCCATTCATTTTCCGGCTATTGTTGAGAGCGCTGAATAACGGTTGTTTCCATGGTGACACCTACTTGTGAGAAGACGCAGACCTTCGTTTCTGTTTGATTCAGGGGCGAAACTGCAGGATGTGCTGAGGACTCGGTAAGGAGGTCATCCACACATCAGTATGAAGAGAGGCGGTTTTGATTGTGCTGACTGCTGCCTTTTAGCGAGGCCACCCGATGTCCAGCGGGGCCGAGAGCATCGGCTACGCTCAGTCCAGGRCCTTTAGCTCCCTTTTCTCCAATTTCTTTCTTTCTGAGTCTGGTCTTCTGATTTATGACTCCAATTAAAGAACACTCACGACTGCTCAAGATTCACGGGCAATAACATCTACAGCAGGTATGCAACGTGGGAGAAAGTGCTGCGGTTTAGTGGAATCACCTCCAGCACCTTTATGTTATCAGATCACTTTTAATGCCTTTAAACTCAGCTTAGCTTCTCTGAGACTCACACGGCTGGGATCCTTTAGGTTGRAGGAAGAGTCGTTGGTTTTATTCTCAGCAGCTGATTTATTCCCAGTAATAAGAAAGTGACTAATAAGAGATGGGATATCTCAGTTGTAATTAGCCGTTTCTTCCATCCCAAGTGAGAACAAAAACACTTCTATAAAATGCTTCCAGCTCCTCTGATGTTGTTTCAGTCCTCCTGTACTCTGTTCATATGTATTGTGCAATACAAACAGGAGTATTTGCACAGAAATGAAACTTTAGACTTGACACTGAGTTGCAAGTTCTACTTAGATAAATGTGCTGTTGCTTTTGTGATCAGTAAAAACAAAAAAAAGAAGAAAAGAAACACAGTCTCATTTCTGCCATCATCACTCCATCTTCATCTTCTTCTGTTTATCAGTAGTCAGGTTGCGGAGGCAACAATTCCAGGAGAGAAACCCAGACATCCCTCTCCCCAGGGAGATTTTCCAGCTCGACCTAGAGGACCCCAAGGCATTCCCAGGCCAGAGAGGATAATCCCTGGGTCTTCCCCGGGGCCTTCTACCAGTGGTACATGCCCGGAACACCTCTAACAGGAGAGGTGTGCAGGAGGCATCCTAATCAGGTGCCTGAACCACCTTCACTGACTCCTTTCGATGTGGAGGAGCAGCGGCTCTTCTCCGAGCTCCCCCCGGATGACAGAGCTCCTCACCCTATCTCTAAGGCTGAGCCCAGCCATCTTACGAAGGAAGCTCATTTCAGATGCTTGTATCCAGAATCTCGTTCTTTCCGTCGTGATCCGTGCCTCATGACCATAGGTGAGGGTTGGAATGTAGACAGACCAGTAAATCGAGAGCTTTGCCTTTCGACTCAGCTCTGTCTTCAGCTGACAGAAGCAACACCCTCATTATTGAGGACGAGGCCCCAATCCGTCAATCCATCTCCTGCTCCATCCTACCATCACTCATGAACAAGACACCCAGATACTTAAACTCCTCCAGTTGAGGCAGAGACTCTCCCCCGACCTGGAGGGGGCAATCCACCCTTTTCCAGTTGAGAACCATGGCCTCAGACTTAGAGGAACTGACTTTCATCCTAGCCGCTTCACAATCAGCCATGAACCGCCTGCGAAGGTCCTGGTCTGAAGACACCAATAGAACCACATCATCTGTATAAATATTTAGCAGAGATAAGACCCTGTGGTTCCCAAACCAAACACCCTCCTCTCCACGACTGCGCCTTGAGATCCTGTCCATAAGCTTTATAAACAAGATCGGAGAAAAGGGACAGCCCTGGTGGAGTTCAACCCACACTGAGAACAAGCTCGACTTGGTGCCAAGAATGTGAACACAGCTCCTGCTTTCGTT